TTGAGGACCCCTGTTGATAATTAGAGGTAGAACCTAGCCTGTCAATCTGGTCACAGCCTGATAATGCCTCCTTGTGGGTGTGGCCTTCTCATGAGGCTTCTGGGAAGTTCCTCTTTCTGCCTTTGTCTTCCTATGGACAAGCCATGTGGACCTATGCTGAGACCTGAGTGAGCCATGCAGCAGAGACCTGGGGAGACAGCTCTGTGATACTTCCACTACCATTAGATCCACAAGAGTTTTCTTTCACCCACCAGCCTGTGATTTTCCTGCATTTGGCATCATTGTGAGTGGCAATGTGAGTCTGAAGAGGAATTTATGGAATAGTATCAGACATATGGGCTAATAGCAGACTTATGGACTTGATCTAGTCTGGACTGGAATGTTTTCTCAATATACAATTGATCTGATATAAAGCTCTCTTACAAATATATGAGTGTTTCTGGCTGTTTTCCTCGCCAACCTGCCTAACACTAGTAGTACGGTTATGTGTCATCTTGGCTGTGCCTAGACTTTTGGTGTTTGGCAACAGAAGCCTCATAATACCCCATGATGTGACTTAACACAAGATCATCAATCAGCTCTGTCATGGGATCTGCTGTGAGCAGTCAAGCAGTTATCAAATCAGGTACAGTGCAACCCCTTAGTCAGGTCACAGTCCTGATGCAATTGAAAGTTTCCTCGGGGAAGTGACCTAATTCCTAAGTAAGTGGCCAGTTTTGTTTTTTGCTGAGGCTGGATTGTGTCTAGCTCGTTGGCCTATGGTTCTCGGAATCTTAGATCTGTCATATTATCTGCTGACACTGTGAAGTGTCAGTTGTCTACTGGCCTTGCACTTATCTGCCTCACCAGATACAAGCCTGACCTGCTGACCTCAGATTGAACCGTGTTTGCAGTCACATCTGTGGTCTTTCTCACATTCTTAGGATCATCAGGCCCCACAGTTGTGTGAGTCATAAGTCTCCAGCCTAACACCTGATCCAAAGACTTGAAACTTGCCCATTCTTGGACTTGACTACTTCTACAACTGTGTGAGCCATTTTCTTAATATAAATTCTTCCTACCCATGCATATATTAGCATAATTAATTTTTCTTCCCTAGAGAACTCAGCCTAACACAACAAGGATAAGATAAGTATTATTGAGCAATGCAAGGATAATGGAGACAGGAAGGAAAGAAATCCAGATAAAGATAGGGAATGGAACAGGAGATTACAGAAAGTTAGCCACTGGTTTTAATTTTTAGTATGACTCAGAAAGGTAACAACAGGTAATATAGAACTGACAGAATTCTGTCAAGGTAGAAAAGCACCTGGAGCCCTCCTATACATTAAGGGAAATGAGCAATAAAAATTGCTGAGGTCCAAGTTCATGTCTAGTTATTTAAGAGAAAAAAGAGCAGAGTAACATCCCTACAGACAACAAAAAGCCACCAGAAAGATGTGCATGAAACATAACTAAAATTTTTACTTCAAAATTACTTTAAAACATTTTAAAAATTAGATGTGAAGCATAAAAGAAATCAACATTAGAAAATATCAGAAATGACAGTATTCAAGAAAATTAGAAATAATTTTAGAAATCAGAATTAAGATCAAATAAAATAATTCCATGAGACATACATGAAAAGGAATACAATATTTAAAACTCAAAACACAATAAAGATAAAGGAGGTTACAAAGTAATATAAAAGATTGGCAAATCAGATTTCAATACACAGATTACAAAGGTCCCCAAGGGAAGAAAAATAGAACACTAACATACTGGAAAAGAAAAAGATAAGAAACTGGAAAAGATATGAAACTACAAATCTGTTACACTGACCCAGCATAATCAGCATATTATACATCTTCATAAAATTACTGTAATAGAAAAAAAAATTGGACTAGAAATAAAAAGAAAAAAGCATCTTTAGGTCATCTAAGTAAAAAAGCACATGAACTACAAAGGAAAAAAATAAGACTAAGCTTTTCAGCAGTATTATTTTGTACCAGAAGAAAGTGCAGTATTTTAAATATTCAAAGAAAACATGAGCCAAAGGTTTTATACCCAGCAAAACTGCTCTTTGAGTGTAAAGGATACAATGTAAATTCAATATACAAGAACTCCGGGAATTCTATTCTCATGACAGATACATCAACCTAATGCCTGGTTAAGTACATTAAATATATAGAAATGAGTCTAAATTCAGGTAAAAGGGGAGGAGGATTGTATTATGTCATGGCTAACAATGTATACAACCTAATTTTCAGTAATCCTAATTAATGACAGTACTGATATTTGCTGATATTCAAATACTGAATGCTAACATAGAATAAAACATGTATTTGTGAGACATTTTATTATATCATCTCCTCTGTCTTGAGAATCAATATTCTCACTGTGGAAAAAGGGATGTACATAATATAGAAAGGCAGTAAAAACCATGGAATCTCAAGTTTCAATTGTGAATATTAAAAATGACCAAAACTAATAATAGCAATGAGCTTCCCAGATTGTGGATTTGAAATTCTAGTTCCAGCATTCAAAAAATGAAGGTTTGAAGAAATAGCTGATTCCAGATCTGAAGCAGGAAAAATAGAAAACGAACCCCTAACACCTTGACATACTGGACAGCAAGGAACTAGTCAAGGTCTATTTGACTTGTGTTTGTACCTGGCAAAACAAAAGAATCAAGGACTAGCACAGAGGTTCCTTCCCACTTGGTAAGGGAAGCTACAATTTGAGTTCACTAAAGATAAAAATTACAATATATTGAAACCCATCTACTATGCTTAAGTTTGAGTATATGGCACACAGGAAAAAGCTTGTGCGATCACATCCTAAGGATGACAGGGAACTGATGAATTATCTTAAAAATGTAGTATATAAAAAAAAAAAAATCTACCAAGGGCTCAATAGAAAGTAAATGTTTAGAAAATAATGATGGCAACATGTACAAATATACTCTATACAATTAATGTATGGATTGTTTCAAAAGTTGTAAGAGACGCCAACAAAACTATCTTTAAAAAATTATAGATAAAAAATTAAAATAATGTCTAAATTATCAAGGATTCACAAGGGCGGGAGGTATGGGAAGGAGGGGGGAAAGAGGAGTTGATACCAAGAGTTCAAGTATTAAATGTTTTGGAAATGATGATGGCAATATATGTACAAATGTGCTTGATACAACTGATGTATGAATTGTTACAAGAGCTATAAAAGCTCCCAATAAAACAATTTATTAAAATTAAAAGGGAGGGCGGAGTGGCGAGGGAAGGGGGGAAAAAATAAAGAAAAATGAGGAGCTGATTCTAAGAGCCCAAGCGGAAAGCAAATGTTTTGAGAATGATGAGGGCGACGAATGTGTAGGTGTGTTTACACACTTGATGTATGTATGGACTGTGATAAGTGTTGTACGAGCCCCCAATAAAATGATTAAAAAAATAATAATTAAATTAAAATAAATATATAAACAAAAAAAATCATCAAACATTCATCTCTTTTTATTTCAAATGGACAAATGGATAACCAAAGAGTAGATATGGGGAACTATCTCCTTCTAAAACTATTCCAGCTAATAAATGCAAATAAAGTCACAGATTTAGACTATCATAATTTGGCAACCCTAATTAATGGACTTAGGTGTGAGAAACTGAGAACCAGTTAGTATGTATGTGAACATATTCTCAACACTCACCTTTAAGAAGTCTGGCAGGCTGAGACTCTGATGGAGGGAGGCCTTCACATTCATGAACTGGAGATGAATCCTGTCACATTCTTCTAACTAAGTTATTTCCTACGATATCCCTAGTAATAATGCCAATTTTAAGATGCTGCTGGCAAGCACATGGTTACTACTATAGACTTGAAGGTTAGCTGCCTGAAGGTTGTCTGCCACCCAGAGTAATCAGATCACCCCGCCCTAAGTACAGCCCATTCCATCCTGATAAGGATCATAGATTACTCCCTGGGAGAAGAGCTAAAGGACATGTAAGGTAAGCCAACATCTTCACTCTGGAACACGCCCATCTTGTTATGCACGTGCCTTCCTGTTACTCATGTAAGCCCTTAGCACATCCCCATTACATATGTGCGTGGTGTGGCTTGCATGACCTTAGATTATATAAAGCAGTGAGAGAATACATTCCCACACTCTGGTTCTGGTCTCCATGGAAGAGGTGAGTCTTTGCATGCCTTGTCTGATGTCTAATTTTCCCTTTTAATTACACAATCACCCCTTAAAACCCATTCAGTTGTGCAGGCTGGTCCCCCACACTTAGGCAATCAATATTAGACACTGCCAAAAAGAAAAAGAAAAAGATGAAGACTGACATATACCCTCTGATATAAGCACCTACCACCAATAGTCTTGTCAAAGGCATGGAACCAGAGTGTAAGGAAGCTTCTGAATCCAGCTGCCAACAATAGGAAATAGAGAAAACAAAGGGAATACTTAAGTGTACCATGTAAAGGACTGAAGATCAAACGAAGCAGGGGAAAGCTCTTGATTAAGAGATTGAAGACATAACCAGCTTAAAAAAAGTGGATAAGCCTTAAACGGCCAAAAGAAACATGGCAAACCATTTCTATAGAAGTCAGAGTAAAGGTTATTTTTAGTGGGGCCGGGATGAGACGGGGCAATTAGAAGCCGTGGTTGTACAAAGGTTAAAGTGCTCAGTGGCTAACCAAAAGTTGACAGTCCGAACCTGCCAACCCACAGCAGCTCTACAGAAGAAAGAAGTGGCAGTCAATTGCCTAATACTCAGAGCCCTGGATACCCCATGAGGAAGTCCTACTCTACAGGATCAGAGTGCACCAGAATTGACTGCACAGCAGTGGGTTTGGTTTAGGTTTGAGCAAGATGATGAGGGTAGGAGTTTCAAGGGTATTCACTTTACAACAACCTATACATTAGTTTTGGGTAGTTTTTGTATGCTTTTATTTTCTAAAGTTTTAAAGTAAGTGATCACGTCAAATATTTTTTAACTAGAAGCATATTTTTAACAAACACACCCAAAGACATTTTTAAAAATATTTATTTATATGACATTGGTCTTTAAAAACTGTACTGTTCCTGTATTGTAGTCTAGCAGCCAGAACTACCTATGTGCAGTTGATGCACAACAGGAGTGTCACCCAAGAGTGTCACCCAAGAGGGTAAGTGAGGCCGAGACCCAGTTTACATTCTGTCTGCTAACCTTTGTCCTGCCATGGGGCTACATCTATCTGCCCAAAGGAAGGGCTGCCTTATCAGCTTTAACATCACCAGACTCAGTATCTTTGTTTGCATTTGCATTCCAACTACAGTAAAACAAATGAGAAGAGTACCAAGTTCAATAAACATAATTCTGAAATCTCAAAGGATGGCCAATTGATTGTACATCTGACCACTGTATTTCAAAGAGAATTATACTGCCTTTCTGACTGTCAGAAAACTGTGCCACTGCAACAACTGCAATAGTCCACCCCAGTCTTTTATTTTCCATGCCAATAAGTAAAAGTAACAAAACAGCCCCAGTGCATGTTCCCAAGAATTACAATGACTTCTGTCAGTCTTCGGACTTCTTCGCGCCTTCTCTTGCTAATCTATCAGCTTCTTCATTACCTACAAATCCCGAATGGCCAGGAATATGCATCTGTTAAAATAGAAAATTTCCTCTTAATTTTTTTCAACTGAAAATATATGTAAAAAATTTCAGCCTACAGAGTCTGAGTAAAAGAAGGCTCGCTTTTCAGAGCCTCTTTCTCAACATAATGCTAAACAATATGAGGTACATTCTTACAGAAGTTGTTAAATCCATTTTATCAATGTACGCATTTATAAAAATTTAGCTTTTTACTTTTATGTGATCTTTTCTCCAATACACATTGTGCTTTGTCACACGCCACACAAAATCAATGTATGTGTGTATTTATGTAGTTGGCACAGTGGTTTCCTCGTTGGGCTGCAAGGTCAGCAGTTAGCTACTCCATGGGAGGTGAGGTTTTATACTCTGGTAAAGAGTTAAGGTCTTAGAAACCCACAGGGCAGCTCTACCCTGTCCTATAGGGTCACAATGAGTCTGCATCAACTTGATGCAGTGAATTTGGTGTTTGAGTTTTATATATCATACACATACTTCTTTTTTTTTTTAACTGCTAAGAGAAAGTATGGATGTATTTATTGAATTCTTGTTTACATTTAGGTTGCTGAAAGGCAAATTTAAATGTCAGGTTATCGGTTATTAGTGGTTCTAGTGAGGTAGAGAAAGATAGGGTTGAGACAATGCTTGCCATTTAATTTATACTATTTGGTGAAAAAACAAGCAATAACAATAAAAAACCTAACTTTAACAAAAACTATCATAAGAAAAATACTTCCACAAAATGGGTGCAAAGCAAATGTGGTGCAGAAAGCTGATGGTGCCCAGCTGTTAAAAGATATAGTGTCTGGGGTCTTAAAGGCTTGAAATTAAACAAGCAGCAATCTAGCAGGGAAGCAACAAAACCCACATGGAGGAAGCACACGAGCTTGTGTTTTCATGAGGTATCGATGGGACGAGGTATCAGAAGTTCAAAAACAAGCAACCAAATCGATGTGAAGGGGCTTGGATGTAGTGGAAACCCAAAACCCACCTGTAACATAATTGGACAGCCCTCTCAGAAGGGCCACATGGAAGGGATGAAAGACCCAAGGTGTGGTATAGCATTGAGAAACTACCTAATTATCCTCTAGTTCTTTAATATTTCCCCCCTTATTATTATAGTTTTTATTTGTTTCACCTTATTAATCATGTTAGATTTGCATGTGCTCATATGTATATTTAAGATTGTTCAGTACATGAAAGCCAAGATACTTAACCCTTCAGAATCATTACAAGAGTAATGGTTTCCTGGGGGTATGGCAAGGGGAGGAGGGGTACAGGGAGCTGATAACATTGATGATTCTATAACCCCACTTGATGGAATCAAACAACAGAATTGTATGTGAATAACTATATTGGATTGTGTAAGATATGGCCCAAAAAACTCCAAACATTAGTATAGGGGGAAAAATAATAATAAGGGTTTCTGAGGGATAGGAGAGCGAAGGCTGGGGATAAAGGTTACGTTTACTAAGGTTTTATAACACTTAAAAATCATACAAATTAGTTTTATTTAACATTATGACTAATTCCACAGAAGCCAATAGGTTTGACTATTATACCTCAAACAGTAAACCCTGGCCCAGGCATTATTATGCAATGATATAAAAATGTTGAGGATATAGAATAGCTCTCAAATAATGTAGCCAGTGTATTCTGTAGAAAGTCATGCTCTCTTATCAAGCCAATATTAATTATAAAATGATCAAAGGAACCAAGTGGGTTTTAATACACATTATATAGATTTCACGGAAATTATTATCCTAACTTAATTAATTCCTTTATATAAACCAGTAGGCACTCTGGTTAATTAAAAACACCAAAGAAACACTCACCCACTGAATGTCCATCCCCTGGGTGAGTTTGTCTAGTTCAACGAAGTCTTCTTTGTTGATCACCTCTTTCCCTGTGCTGGTTCTCCATCCATTCTTCTTCCAACCTTTAACCCAATTAGTTATGCCTAAAAGAAGCCCACATTTGTAGATTAATTTTATTATTCCAAAATTTGCTTTCCTTTCCTTTTAGGATCAATCAAATTTTTATTAATTTGAGGGGATTTAAAAATTCATGAAAAAAAATTTTAAGATAGATTTTTTCCACAAATTCTTTGAAGCCCCCTTGGAGTTTTAGTCTTACACTTACAGTGAACCCTCGCCACTTCGCGCTTCGACTTCCGCGGCTTCACTCTATCGCAGTTTTTGCATAACAGCGCATGCTCTGTCATTACTGCCACTGATTGGCTCACACTGTACACGCTTCTGTCTGCATCGCTACGTATCGCAGCTACGTATCAGATGCATTTTTGCTTTTGTACAGTGTACTGTAATTGTTTGCGATTTTTAAGAAATTTTATCTAAGCCCTATGATGGCTCCTAAACAAGCTGCTTCTTCTAAGCCTTCTGACAATAAAAATAAGCGCCAGAGGAAGATGCTCACCATCCAGGAAAAGGTAAAACTTTTGGATATGATCAAAGATGGCAAAAAAATTGTGGAGGTTGCACGCCATTTCGACTTGAATGAGTCTTCCGTTCGCTCCATCCGTAAAGAGGAAAAAAACATCCGTGCTACGGCTACTTTCACTTTCAACAAGGAAGCAAAGCGCATCGTGACAAGTCGTAATAAGTTCATAGTATAAACGGAGTCTGTCCTAGCAGTTTGGATCAATGACAGGCGCAAGAAAAACATTCCGTTGGATTCGATAGTCATCCGGGAGAAGGCAAGGCAGCTCTATCAGCGTTTTACAGCAGACAAACCTCAACCAGAATCCTCTTCTGCAACGTTCGTGGATTTTACAGCGAGCAAGGGTTGGTTCGAAAAGTTCCAGAAGAGGTATCAGATTTACAAATAAGGAATCCTACTTCGCGGAATTTCATTTATCACAGTAGGGTCTAGAACCAATTAACCGCGATAAACGAGGGTTCACTGTATTTGCATTTCATTCCCTAGTCCTCCCTCCAGCAATATTTGGTAGAATTCTCCTCTTCTCTGTGGGAGACTCTGATTCAATTCCCAGTCAATGCACCTCATGCACAGCCACGGTGTGTCAATGAAGGTAATGTGAGTTGCTATGTTGCTGAGTATCTTTCAATAGAGCTGCCTGGCTAAGATGAAAAAAGGCCTGGCATTGTACTTGCAATTATCAGCCAATGAAAACGCTCTGATTCACCATGTCCTATCAGCAACCCCTCATTGGGATGTCTATTATGTTGTGCCTGGTATTGCCATGTGTTAGAGGTTAACCTGAAGGGAGCTATATTATTCAACAAAGAACAATTTGTTTGATGTCCTCCTTAATTTCCAAACATCTAATTCAATCTATTGAGGAGCCCTGGCGGTGTAGTGGTTACAAATTGGGCTAACCACAGCAGTTCAAAATCAACAGTAAGCTTTCTAATTCTGTAAAGAATTACAGTATTGGAAATCCACAGGGGCAGTTCTACCCTGTTCTATAGGGTCACTATGGGTCAGAATCAACTCAGTGGTAGTGAGTTTTAAGAATTCGATCTATTAAAAACCACTAAAGTAAACTACATGTGCTAAGGCACACAAAAGAGATGATGGAGTCAAGGAGCTCAATAGAAAATTCCAGCCTGAGAAGACAAAGTCAAATATTATAATGAAATCCTAAACTGAAAGAACTAAAGAAAAATTCAAGCCGCAAGTTGCAAAATTGAAATTCCATGAACAAAATGTTGAATGACGCAGGAAGCATCAAGACAGGATGGAAAGAATATACAGTGACTATACTAAAAATAACTAGACAACATTCCACTGTTTCAGGGGGTAGCATCTGAGCAAGGACCAATGGAACTGAAGGAAGACGTTCAAGCTGCACTGAAAGCATTAGCCAAAAGCAAGGCTCCAGGAATTGATAGAATACAAACTGAAATGTTACAACAAGCTGATCAAACACTGGAAGCACTCACTTGTCAATGCCAGGAAATCTGGAAGACAGCTACTTGGTTACCTAAGAGATCCATATTTATACCCATTCCAAAGAAAGGTTATCCTATCCAACAGAATGCTAAAATTATGGAACAGGTACTATAGCAAAGTGTGGAGAAGAAAGCAAATGGTGCCTAGCTATCAATCAGAATAGTGGCTTGGGTATTAAAGGCTTTTATTCAAACAAGCAGCAATCCAAGTGAGGAGTCAACTAAGCCCACATAGAAGAAGCATAACAGCATGTGTGATCTAAAGATGACAATAAAATTCAAATATGACGAAGGGCAAAGTAGCATAGCTAAAGCAGCTAACACCCAATTTGTGGAAGGCCAAGGGGGAAAGTGGGGGCCCCAAATCCATCCGTGGAGTAACTAGTCAGATCAAGCCACTGGCAGATCCCCTCTAGCCACAGGCAAAGGTCTGGAATAGCCTTACTAGCAATCATAGATCATTGTATTCTTAATTTTGCTGGATCAAACTTGATACTTGGTCAGCCGCAAGTATCAACTCCCTCTAGACCCAACCTGAATGTGTTCCAGGTGCAAGAATCTCTTGCTTGTTCCATAACAAAAATTTCTTCCCTGGTTTTTAAAATATTGATGGTGGTCCTTCTTTCTTATTCAATGTCCATATTTTTATCTTTTTATTACTATTGTTTTATCCTTACCACTTCATTTTGTTTTTGTTCTTCGTTGTTTCTGTTAGATTTGACAGGTGGTGAAGCACAGGAGTAGATGCATAGAGATAATAATTGATGCAAGGGGGTGTGAGTGGGGGAGGAAGGGGGAAGATGAGAGGGGGAGGGAACTTTGGGAGTAAACAAAGAAGGTGGGAGGGGGAGTGAGCACTAGAACTGAAGGTGATTCTACAACTCATTTTAAAGGTGATTTAATCATGTGGGGAAAAAAGGAAATGTTCTGAAATTGATTGTGGTAATGATTGTACAATTCTTGATATCATTGAACTACTGAATGGTGTTATATGTGGATTAAGTGCCAATAAAACTGTTAAAATATACATGGAATAGTGTCATTAATATCACACACAAGAAAACTTTTGCTAGAGATCATCCAACAATAGTTGGAGCAGTATATTGACCGTGAACTGCCAGAGGTTCAGGCCAGATTCGGCAGAGGCCATAGGACAAGGAATATCATTGCTGGTATCAGATGGATCTTGGCAACATGTCTGTTTTTGTTGTTGTTGCTATGTGCCATCAAGTTGGTTCCAACCTATGGTGACCCTATGAACAACAGAACAAAATACTGCCTAACCTTGCACCATGCTTAAAATTTTTCCTATGCTTGAACCCATTGTTCCAGCCACCGTGTGAAACCATCTCGTGGAGTGCTTTCCTCTTTTTCAACGCCCCTCCACTTTTCCAAGCATGATGTCCTTCTCCAAGAACTAATTGGTCTCTCCTGACCACATGTCCCAAGTATATAAGACAAAGTCTCCCCATACTGACTTCTAAGGAGCACTCAGGCCATACTTCATACAAGAAAGACTTGCTTGTCCTTTTGGCAGTCCATGGTACTCTCGATATTCTTAACCCACACAATTCAAAAACATCTATTCATCTTTGGTCTTCCTTGTTCCAAGTCCAACTTTCACATGGATGTGAGGTGTTTGAATATACCCTGGGTTGGGTCAGACACACCTTAATCCTCAAAGTAACAAGCCTGCTTTACAGTGTTTTCTGCAGCATATTTTGCAGCATATTTTCCTAAAGCAACATGTTTTTTGGTCCCGACTGCTGAAAAGTGTTTACTTGTGTGTTAGTGACTGTGTAAGCCACAATAAACGATAACAGCCTTGAGAAAAAACGAGAATCCCAGAACACTTCACTGGGCTCCTACAGAACCTGTACATGGACCAGAGGGAATACTGAACGGTTTAAAATCGGGGAAGAATTGTATCCTCTCATCACTTGTGCAATTTGTATGGTGAACAACCAGAGAAGCTGGATTATATGAAGAAAAATGTGGCCTCAATATTACAGAAGGCTTATTAACAAACAGCGATATGCAGATGACACAACCTTGCTTGCTGAAAGTGAGGATTTGAAGTACTTGCTGAAACAGATCAATGATTATAACTTTCAGTACGAATTACAATTCCCTGTAACGAAGACTCAAATCTTCACAATTGGACCAGTACGTAACATCATGGTAAATGGGGAAAAGGTTGAGGTTGTCACAGATTTTGTCTTGCTTGGATCCACAATCAATGCTCATGAAAGCAGCAAACAAGAGATCAAAGGACACATTGCAATAGGTAAATCTGATGCACGAGATCTCCTTTAAGTGTTGAAAAGCAAGGAGGTTATTTTGAGTTCTATAGTACACTAGACCCAAGCCACGGTTTTTGCAATCACCTTACATGCGTGTAAAATTTGGACATTCAATAAAGAAGACTGAAGAATTAATGCATTTGAATTAAGCAGCTGATGAAGAATACTGAAAGTTCCACGGGCTACCAAAAGAACAAACAAATTTGTCTTGGAAGAAATACAGTCAGAATGCTCCTTAGAGGCAAGGATGGCAAGACTTCATCTCAAGTGCTCTGGACATGTTGACAGGAGAAACCGATCCCTGGAGAAGGACATCATGATTGGTAAAGCAGCAGGGCAGCAAAAAAGAGGAAAGCTCTTGCCAAGATGGACTGATGAGGAGGCCACATCAATGGGCTCAAGAAACATACGAACAATTGTGAGGATGGGGCAAGACCCAGAGATGTTTCATTCCGATGTACATAGGTTGCAATGATTAAGAACTGACACAATAGTGCCTAACAACAAGAGGCATGCTGTTGTCTCAGAAACAAAAAAAGCCCTGCTGATTAAGCTATTTTATGACTGAAAGGTGATCTCCCTTCAAAAGTAGAGAATGATAATTTTACTACAGACGTGTCATCTCTATTTCACAGCTGCCTGGCATCTACTGTACCAAAATGACAGAAACCTGTAGAAACAGTGCTGGTGACTCAATTAACAGAAAAATAAAACAAAAATGCAACTCAAGGTTTAGTTTTACCCACAAAAAATTTCCTTGGGAAAATCATGATGAAGTAGGTTTAACAATGGTGTGTAAAGATGGTTCAATTTTAAAAAATCAATCAAAGTAATTCACCACATAAATAAACCATTTGATCACATTGGTCAACACAAAAACAACATCGGATAAAATCTAACACCTACTTTCCTAATAAAACTCTCAGCAAAGGAAATTCCTCAACACAGTGAGGGTATCCACACAAAACCAATGATTAGCATCATTCTCAATGGGGAGAAAATGAAAGCAGTCCCCTTGATTTTGTGGAAAAATGAAATTTAGCACCCTTGTATTATATACAAACACTACTACAGAAATCCCAGGGGAAAAAAGAAAGAAAGCCAAGAAAAAACACATACACATAAGGAAACATTTTTTACTGTTATCAGGCAAGGGAAGGGAAGCAAAAACAAAGACTAATGAGATAGCAAACAAACAATAAAACTAATTTACTGGGTTGGGTCAATTCTAACTCTCAGCAAGGGGACGGAGGAGACAGAGCAGGAAAGAGCAAACTGCCCCATTGGGTTTCCAGGGCTATGAACTTTACGGTGGCAGATTGCCACCTTTTCTCCTGGAGAGCAGTGAGTGAGTTCAAATCACCGGCCTTCTGGTTGGCAGACAAACACATTAACCATTGTGCCCCAGGATTGCATAACTAGATAGCAGACATCTATTAATCTGGGTGACAATAAAACAATACACAATAAAGGAACGGCCAGTACATCCTGGCCAAGGCAAAGAAAGACACTGGGAGGTATGCAATAGTAAATAACAACAACAGTGAATCCTATTAGATACACAAAATAAGGGGGTACCCCAAAAATCCCAAAATTCCCTCCCCAAAGCCATGTATTAAAATTTTTTTTTATAAAACAACCATATCACTTTCAAAGTACTCTCCATTACACTTAATACATTTGTCACATCTGCAACTCCATTCTTGGAAACATTTTCAAACTCATCTGTTTGCATGGCTGACAGAACTTCCCTCATTTTTTCTTCACCTCTGCCATGTCTTCAAATCGCTGTCCTTTCATGTCCCTCTTCATTCGTGGAAACAAAAAGAAATCACAAGGAGCCGATTAGGTGAATAAGTGCATGGGATAAAAGAGACATGATGTTTTTTGCCAAAAACTGGCATACTAAAATGGCTGTGTGAGCAAGTGCATTGTTGTGGTGGCAAAACTAGTCCTCCGTCTGCCAAAATCAGGCTTTAAAAAAAATTATTTTATTATTTTAATTCCTCTTTTTATTGAGAGCTCTTACAGATGTCATAACATCCATCATTCCAATAGTTCAAGTAAAATTGTACAATTGCTACTACAATCAGTTTCAAAACATTTTCTTTCTTTTTGAATTCTTTGATATCAGTTGCCCTGCATCCGCCTCCTCCCAACAAATCAGGCCTTTTTTGTCGCATACTGTTAGGCAATCTCTTCAGAACCTCTAAATAGAAAACTTGATTAACAGTCTGACCTGGTGGAACGAACTCCAAATGCACTATCCCCCTCACATTAAAAAAACAACAACTGAGCATCTCGTCTTGATCTTTGATTTCACTTGATGAGCTTTTTTGGGACAAGCTGACAAAAAGCTGTTTTCCACTGGCTTGATTGACGTTTGATTGATGATGTCTCATCACCAGTAATGACCTTGGAAAACAAGGCTGGGTCACTTTGGGGCTGTTCTTTGAAAGCACGGCATGTCTCCACTAGACGCTCTTTTACCTGGTTGTCAGAACCTGAGATGGACCTTCCATTAAAATTCGCTGCCCCGAGTTCCAAGGCAGTCTAGATAACTTCCCCATCTCGTCAATGGTCCGTCAGGGTCTTTGATCACAAGTGCAAGAATTATGTCAACATTTTTGTCCATTCTGGAAGTTGACGGCCCTCCAGACAAGGTTTGTCATCAATTGACATTTCACCTTTTTTGAAAAGAGAAAATCACTCATACACTTGAGTTTTTCCCATAGCACTGTCCTTATAAGCTGTGTTCAACACCACAACAGTTTCTGCAGCATTTTCCCCAAACAGGAAACAAAATTTCACAGCCGCACCCTGTTCCCTTAAATCAACCATCACAAAAAGAGGTTTTGAGTGAAACTGCTTTTACAAAAAAATTCACTGCGAAAGAACTTTCCCAGGCAACGCCACAGGGTGCACTAACTCAGAGCGAGTTGCTCAATGCTTATCTAGAGGGAAAAAATGCATACTACAAAAGTGTTGCCCAAAGGAGCTTTTATCCATTTGGGGGTGGGGGTGTACCCGTAGTACATACATAATAACAGTAACAACAGATAATAATTTGCGTAGATTCATAGATTGATAGATTGATAGATTGATAACAAACCAAAAAGCTCACTGCCCTTGAGTTGATTTTGATTCACATCCACCCTGTAGGGCAAGTTAGAACTGCCCTTTTGAGTTTCCAAGGTTGTAAATCTTCCCAGGAGCAGAATGCCTCATCTTTCTCCCATGGAGTGGCTGGTGGGTTCAAACTGCTGAGCTTGTGGTTAGCAGCCCAATGCATAATCCACTATACCACCAGGCTCCTCAGTAGACACACAGGGGCTTCAGAAAGCATGTGGAAAAATGTCATTATCTTTTAATGACATGTTGTTGTAGCCCCTCGTATGTATGTATGATAAAGAAGTGTGGGTGGCATATGGTAGTACAGCTATGAGCATAAACAGGTTAGGCATAGAATATTTCTACTTACTTGTCTGTGTTGCAATATATCCAAGTGTATAGTGGAGATACGGGGGCAAGGGTATGCAACATCTTGGCTATAACCACCACCTTGGTATTTACGTCACTGGGCTTGAAGGCTTAGGACTATAGTCTCATGGTATATAAGTCGATTTGGTGTAACCTAGTCCCTAAAGACAATGCTCTACATACAACTCTAATGAGGAGCAAGGAGGGTCTTAAAAACTTTCAATCTAACATACAACTATTTGCCTCTTCCTGTCCAGAGCAGTGAAGAGTGAAGAAAACTGAAGACTCATGGAAGCAATGAGTTCAAAGGACTAATGGAGCACACAAACCACAATCTTCACTGGCTTGAAGCTAGGCAAACGAAATGGTGTCCAGCGACTACTACCAAGTCCTTTGACTGGGATCACAATAAAAGGTCCTGGGCAGAGTGGGAAAAAATCTAGAATAATAAAAAACGTTAAAAGGAAAAAAAAAACCCAAAACATGACTTACTGGTTTGATAAGAGACTAGACGATGGCCCTTATAGCCTTTTCAACCTGGAACTGAACTCACTTTCAGAGATCACCTTTCAGCCAACGCAAGAAGCCTATAAAAGCAGACAGTAACACTCGGGAAGAATGTGCTTCTTAGAACAATCCATCACACAAGACCAAAAGGGGCAGCATTCATCCCAAGAACACAAAGCTCAGAATGCAAAAAGGTGCAAAAAATATGGGCAAATAGAAATATAGAGCTCCAGGAAGAAGTGAGAAGAATATTTTTAGACTAAAGAATTACAGCTAATGTAATGAAACAAAATACATATACATTTTTGAATGGGAAATTAATTTACTCTGTAAATGTCCACCCAATTACCAATAAAATGTTAAATAAATTCCTTGGGAAAGTAATTTCCAGGTGACAGACACTCCACATGTGTGATTATTAAGTGCCATTGAATCAGTTCCAACCCATAGAGATCCTATGCACAAGAGAATGAAACACTGCCCTGTCCTGCATCATCCGCATAATTGTTCCTATGCTTGAGTCCACATGGGTTCATCACAATGGCATATAAAGGTATGTTTTATTTTCTCCATAGCAGAGATAAGGAAAATGAGGCTCTAGGAAGTTAACTTGCTTAAAAGTAAAAAGGTCTTGAGTGTTCTGTTTTGTAACCTCCCTAATTCATCTCTGATCACTGGTTCCAATTTGTATTTTAAGTGGTGATTCTAACTTTTCCTTTTAAGCAGCCCCCACCCCCACCTTTTGGTAGATGTAGGTAATACTCTCCGTTTCTTCAACTTAAGGTGCCACTTCCTCCAAAAAGCCACCCCAGACTCCTTAAGCCTCCATTCTATACAGGGTAATTCATTTCACAGCCTGGTGGAGTGAGCGTGAAATAAGTATATAGTAAAAAACTGGAGTGGAACTAGGATTCTAAAGTCCTTGCTCTTTCCTAGGTGTCTCACCAACCAAATGGTATCTCCACTTACCATTTGGATTCTTCCTTGTTACAGCATCTCCCACTGGGGAAGGAAATATCTATTTCCTTTTCGTGAAAAACCACAAGAAATACAATGTGAATAACACTTACCGTTTATAGTAAACATGCTGTCTGTATATAAAACCAATTTCTTGATGTTTTCAGTCTTTGCTTGTTCAATGGCTTTACAGGCTGCCTTGGAGAAACCAGTTGAGACTCATTCTAGTGTTCAACTTTCAACATGACTTCAAGTGTAAACATCCCTTTTCTGTACTAGCCATAATGCTCATATTCCTGATAGAAAATGATGCTACACATGTAATTCCTGTTTTACACATCAATTTGCAGTACGTTTTGCAGTTTTTCTAGATAATTCTTATCTTCCGAGTTGTTACATAACCCCAAACCCAACTTCTTCTAAACTATTTTATATACACAAACTAAACCCAAAACCAAACCCACTACCATTAAGTCACTTCCAATGTGTGACCCTACACAACAGAGTAGAGAGCTCTCTTCTGCTCTCTTGGTTTTGTGAGACTGTAAACTTTTCCAAGAGCAGAGAGCCTCATCATTCTCCCACAGGGTGGCTGGTGGGTTCAAACTATCAACCTTGTAGTTAGCAATCCAAAGAGTAGTCCACTACACCACCAGGGCTCTTTTCTCATATACATAAATAGCATAAAATTAGTTGATATATTTATTCATAGTCAATGCTAAGAATGGCGAACTTGCCCACATTGAGGAAGCACACCAGCCTGTGCGATCATGAAGTGTCGAAGGGATCAGGTATCAGGCATTATCAGAACAAAAAATCCTACCACAGTGAATGGTGGGGGGAGTGCGGAGTGGAGACCCAAAGCCCATTTGTAGGCCACTGGAGATCCCCTTGCAGAGGGGTCTTGGGGAGGAGACGAGCCAGACAGGGTACGATGTAGCAACAATGAAAAATACAACTTTCCTCTAGGTCCTCCCCCCCCGCCCCCCCAAATATCATGATCCGAATTCTACCTTGCAAGGCAAGTCTGGCTAGACCAGAGGATGTACACTGGTACAGATAGGAACTGGAAACACAGGGAAGCCAGGGTGGATGATCCCTTGAGGACCAGTAGTGTGAGTGGTGATACTGGAAGCGTAGAGGGAGGGTGGGTTGGAAAGGGGGAACCGATTACAAGGATCTACATGTGACCTCCTCCCTGGGGGACAGACAACAGAAAAGTGGGTGAAGGGAGACGTCAGACAAGGCAAGATATGACAAAATAATAATTTATAAATTATCAAGGGTTCATGAAGGAGGGGAGGAGGGAGGGCGGGGAAAAAATGAGGAGCTGATACCAGGGGTTTAAGTGGAGAGCAAATGTTTTGAGAATGATGGGGGCAATGGATGTATAAATGTGCTTTACACAATTGATGTGTGTATGGATTATGGTAAGAGTTGTATGAGCCCCTAATAAAACGTTTTAAAAAAATGGTGAACTTAAGTTTTTTGTAGAAAAAAATCCATCTAGTAACTTACATGTATTTCCGCTCTTTGGTTTGTTTGCCGACCAGGGAGTCTAATGCCTACATTTCTGTTTCAAAGCAATATAAAATAAAATTATCAAGCAATTCTCAGTGATTCTTTAATCTCTTAACCCCCAAATACAACCAAACTCACTGCTATTGAGTGGATTCTGACTCAGAATCACACTATTAGATATAGTATAACTCCCTTTTGAATTTCTAAAGCTTTCAATGTTTACATGAGTGGCTGGTGGTTCACACTGCTGCTGTGGTGTTTAGTAAACTGCACCCATTAGTAAACATAGCCCACTACACCACTAGAGTTCTCTTAGTGGATATAAATTAATCAATGAATATTTATTTGAAATATGAAAGCAACACATAAAATGATAGCCTTTAAAAAACCACCAAACCAATGACATTAACACTATTTGAGAGACACTAGGGGACAATACTGTAGAAGGGCCACTGGAGCAGAAGTCAAAAGATCTAAGTCTCAATTTTGGACCTCAAATGTAGTCTTGGACAAACTACTCAAACTGACTGACCTTCAGTTTGCTACCTATGAAATGATAGAAACGGAAGCTCACCCACTTTTATGGGGTTTGAAGTCATAATATTAAGCTGAACTTTGTCTTTGTAAACTTTATAGTTGATAGACACAATGTGGTGTTACTACTGAATGATTTATATAATTTGTAGTGAATGGCCTTTAACAATCTTGTGGGATTTATTAATATTGGAAAACAAAGCTCAGAACTGAAACATGGAGACTATCGAAGAATCAAGTCTCTATTTTACATTTAATTTTTGGGCTGTCAGTTACTATTCAAGTTCATTCATATTCAGAGGCTAGGATTATTTGAATAGTTGTATTTTATATTCCTGTGATTTTGAGCCTTTTGAGAAACAAAAGGATCACTTCTAAACTCCCATCATTTCAGAAGGGTCACAGTTAAATCGAGTACGATGGTGCTCCAAGCCCATGACCTGCCCCAATGGTGTACAAACAGTCTGTAGAGTGCCCTGTGCTCATTCAAGGACACAGCTGTATCATCTTTGTATAGAATTTCACCAGTGAGACTTGTCAAATTTTAGAGTTACAAAAGCAATGTTAAGGTAATTTTATGTTTAACATTCTGAGGGCAGATGCTTTTCAAATGCAGGTTTTGCGGGGGAGGGGAGTCTTCCAAGTAAAACAATAAGCATAGTCTCGTTCATAACTTCACAAATTTTAAAATTATTTGCTAAAGTGGTAAAGTGGGAAGCATGAAAAATTTAGCTTTATTGATTTTACTTACAAAGGATGGCCTGGCCCCCAATACACTCCAATTCCTGCTCGGGCCCTTCTCCGGCCATTACTGGAGCAACAGCCATCTGTGTAAACAACTACAAATTCTCCTATAAAAAAAATTTAATAAGTGCTAAAGGAGCAATATGAGTAACAGCTAAAATTCACCTCAAGAGTTTACTCAAAAAAAAAGTTTACTCAAGTTGAATTTGTATTTCAAAGAGAATTATTGACAATGCTGTTGAAATTTTGCCTATGAAAATATCAGATTAATTTTTTAAATTAACATACGTTGTTCTGTTGTTAAAAACAAGCAAAGCAAATATACACACGTCAATTCAAGTCTTTACACATACATCCCATTCTTACCTTCTTTTCTGAGAAGTTCCTCCCTCGTTAACACATTCATTGCCCTCTATGCTCTTATCTAATCTTTTAAGTGGCTGTTGTCAATCTGATCCCATATAGTTCTTTAAATGTGATCAACATTATTAATAATAAGCATTATTAATTTTTTATATGGGGGCATTTGACACTCTGTGCTTAGAATCTACTCATCATGGTCCCATATATCAGGCAACTAAAGGAGAATGAACTCAGAAAAACTAGAATATGCTACAGTAAGTACACTAAAGGCATCAAATAAGAAAACTACCCCTTTATATATACCTCCTTTCACTATCAAGATATTATCATTCTATGAACATGATGCCATGTACTTCAGAAATACTTGCCCACCAACTCAAGCCCTCTGAAAAATGTCAGTCTGATTTTGTACATTAAGAAATATTCATACATATATGTATATGCATTCATGTTTCTTTATATGACATAATCTATTTAAACTAGTTAAAATTGACCACTATCAACAGGGAACACAGGAAGTGGGATAAGTGATGCTATACTGTGGGGATGACAGTGACATGAAGCAAATGTCATGTCACTGCCATGACATGTGGAATGCAAAACTGATCCACGCAGATCTTCATCCAATTCATAAAAGGCTTAAGAATTTTTTTAGCCCATATTGCTTCTTTTCATGAAGAAAGCAGCTCTGTTTCATCAAGGCTCTGGATGAAAACCAAAACTCATTAGTGACTTTCTAGGACAGGGTAGAACTGCACCTATGGATTTCTGCGACTAGTTTTTTATGGGAATAGGAAGCTCCGTCCTTTTCCTAGAGTTGGAACTGCTGACCTTACGGTCAGCAGCTCAAGTCCACCAGTAATAAAGAATACTGTCATTTTAAGTGATTATGTTTTTAATTTATAATTTATATAATTTTCTCATGGATATCCAAACTCTTAATAATTCTGCACCATTTGATCAATTGTAAATAACCACTCAAGTGACCTTTGGATTTCTAATTAACCTTTACAAGGAAAACTGAGGATGTTACACATCAGTTTAAATTATCCACATCAAAAAAGTGGGGAAAACATCTACCTATTTTTATGGTTATTATATTAAAAATTAAAAAAACTCAAGAAAGATGTACCCATATAAGAAAATGTGTCTTTGCTAACTGAAGGTACTGAGTCTGTATTTTGTTTTACATGCTTTGCACTTGGTTCTGCATTTTCATCTTCCTCTTCATCCACCGACTCCCAGACTCGCTTGTTGGCTTTCACGTGAGATTCTTGCAAGTGTTCATTTTTCTGTCCTGAAAGACAGAATCTCCCTGTAATCCAGAAATAATGAACATAATATAAAATGCTTAAGAATCAGTCAACTTAGCAAGTTATTTAAGGCTACTAAATAAGACTTAAGCATTCTATCATGCATGTCCCTTTAATGAAGGAATTACTTAAGATAGTTTGTATATCACCTCAAACTTTAGTGTCCTGTGAAATCAATTAAAATTTTCAAGATAGGTTTAGTAAGGGCAATGCAAGACAATATTAAGGATTCTGTCAAAAACAAAATTTGGTTTTAATGTAGGTAATAAAGACACCAAGGATTCTTATTCTACAGGGATCACAGATGTTCTGAAAGTCTGAGGGCCTCTTTCCTTAGAAAAAGACAAGAATCAAAGTTGTGTACATAGTATCAGTGGCTTGTCTATCAGAGCCCCCACCCCAATTCAGCTCCCCAAATACTCAACTTGCAAGGACGTCAGGTTGAAAACCTCTAAGAGGTTAGGAGGGAATGGTAGGTCTAACTTAAATAAACAAGTAATGGGGCAGGCTAAGAAAGCAAAATAAAACCAGAAAGGGAATGTGTTAGGTCAGATTGACTACAGAAACAAATTCAGTGACACTCCTAAGTGTATAAGAAAAAGCTTTATATCACAAAAAGCAACAATATATTAAGAAAACATCCCGTGACAGGGGAATAGGGCACTGACCAAAAGAAAGGTATTGTTTGTGTCTCCACAGGGAAAGAGGGACCAGATTTAAAGCCAGTGCCAGACAAATGCAGCTTGTTGGCAAAGAGAGGGGAGCCAGCGGAGGGGCCTCAGGGCTTGGCCCCCATGCCAGGTATGTGGACAACTTCCCCTCCCCCCAGAAGAATTTACTTGAGAAGACTGCAATGAAGCTGAAGCTAGGGAAGAGGGGCATGTCTGACCAGAGCAAATGGGAGCACTTAGGGGGAGGAAGAGAGAGTGGAGCACATCCTGAAGCACCAGGCCTGGAGGACTACATCCCTGCTCTGAACAGCCAATGGACAGAGTGGACAATATGGCTGATCCACCACGAGACACACTGTCCCTTGATCGCCCTGGGCTATAAGGGAGACAACACTGGAGACTCAGTGTTGGGATTGGTCCAGACTGACCCTGAGACACGGAGGCAAACCACTAAAAGCATGCAGCAGAACAACCATGGGAGCAGAGAGCCCCTGAGGGAGTACAAAGGACTCTGGAGTCAGAGCATGGTACCCCATCGGTCCTGACTGAAGGACACGCTTAGAGATAAAAAATCAGACCTTGAACTATATACGGGATTTTCTTTCTGCTTAAAATTTTTTTCTCTTAGGTCTGGAAGGGATTAAGCAAGGGCTAAGTAACTGAGAGAAATCACTGAAACCCAAATGAAGGCTGAGCATGATAGTGGGACAAGAGGAAAGTAAAAGGAAATAAAGGAAAGAACTAAGGGATAAAGGGTATGTACAGAGGTATTAAGACTAGAATGTACATATATAAATATATTTATATAAGAGTGTGGGGAAACAGATTTACATGCATATATTTATAAGTTTAGTATTAAGGCATTGCAAGAACACATTGTTCTGTTAAATTGGCATTCCAGGATGCACACCTTCCCGACACGATTGCTAAAGGAAAATGTGAACATAAGCAAAGGCGGTGAAGAAAGCTGATGGTGCCCGGCTACCAAAAGATATAGCGTCTGGGGTCTTAAAGGCTTGAAGACAAACAAGCGGTCATCCAGCTGAGAAGCACCAAAACCCACATGGAAGAAGCACACCAGCCTGTCTGACCACAAGGTGTAGAAGGGATCAGTTATCAGACATCAAAGAACTGAAAAATCATATCAGTGGGTGCCCGCTTTACTAACACAACTACTGAAGACAAACATGTGCATAAGCAAATGTGGTGAAGAGAGCTAATGGTGCCTAGCTATCAAAAGATATAGCGTCTGGTGTCTTAAAGTCTTGATGATAAACAAGCGGTCATCCAGCTGAGAAGCATCAAAGCCCACATGGAAGGAACACAACAGCATGTGTGACCACGAGCTGTCAAAGGGATCAGGTATCAAGCATCCAAGAACGAAAAATCATATCATTGTGAAGGTGGGTGAGTGCAGAGTGGAGACCCAACTGAACACCCCCTTGCTGAGGAGTTGTGGGGAGGAGACAAGCCAATCAGGGTGCAGGGTAGCAACGATGAAACATATAACTTTCCTCTAGTTCTTAATGCTTCCTCTCCCCCACTATCATGATCCCAATTCTACCTTACAAATCTGGCTGGACCGGAGGATGTGCATTGGTACAGATAGCAACTGGAAACACAGGGAATCCAGTATAAATGACTCCTTCAGGAATAGTGGTGAGAGGGGCCATGCCTGGCGGGTGAAGGGAATGTGGGGTAGAAAGAGGGAACCAATTACAAGAATCTAAGTATTGCCTCCTCCCGGGGATGGACAGCAGAGAAGAGGGCGGAGGGAAACATCGGACAGGGTAACTTATGACAGAACTATAATAATTTATGAACTATGAAGGGTTCATGAGGGAGGGGGGAGTGGGGAGGGAGAGGGAAAATGAGCAACTGAGATTAGGGGCTAGAGTGGGAGGCAAATGTTTTGAGAATGATGAGCGCAACAAATGTGAATATGTGCTTGACACAATGGATGGATGGATGGATTGTGATGACAATTGTACGAGCCCCCAATAAAATAATTAACAACAAAAAAAGAAAACATCCCAGCCCAGTCCAGATCAAGTCCTTAAGGCCTGTATTAGCCCATATGTCAGATACTAGTCTATAAATTCCTCTTCAAACTCACACAACACATGCAAATGCCTAATGCAAGATCATAAGACATTGAGTGGAAAATCTTGTGGGGTAGAAAAATCCAGTGGCGGTGGAAGCATCTCAGTGCTAGCTTGGGTCTCCAAATAGTTCCTCAACAGGAAGGTGAAGCAGAGAGAAAGTGTGTGGACCACATCCAGGGAGTAAGAGAGGACGTTCCCAGAGTCCTCACAAGGCCACGCCCACAAGGAGGCATCATCAGGTTGTGACCTGACTGACAGGCTAGACTCCATCCCTATAGTTATTTATCAAGTTGACATAAAAATATGTGACCACCACTGGAAGTTAAAATTGAGTCCCATCTAGGATAGTAATGTAGTAGTTATTTCTTCAATAGCCCAACCCTGGTGGATTCAAGATGAATACTAAAGAAATTATCAAACATTTTTTTCAGGGTTATCTGGGAGTAACCAATATCTCACTTTCTTTTTAGTATTATTATGGCAGTTAAAGTAGAGAAGCAAGTAAGACATAACAAAATAACAATAATTTATAAATTATCAGGGGTTCATAAGGGAGGGGGGTGGGGCGGGATGGGAAAAAATGAGGAGCTGATACCAAGGGCTCAAATAGAAAGCAAATGTTTTGAGAATGATGATGGCAACAAATGTACAAATGTGCTTGACACAATGGATGTATGTGTGGATTGTGATAAGTGTTGTACGAGCCCCAAATAAAATGATTCTTTTAAAAGTTACAGTCTTGGAAAGCCATGGGGACAGGACATTCTACTGTTATAGGTTACTCAGTCTGAATTGAAAAGTTAGCATCAAGCCTTTTCACACATAGAAAGTTAAAATGTACATATTTCCCTGAGAATTTTACTTCTGGGAATTAGGGACATTTAAGGTAATACATACAAGGGGGTTTAAAAGTTCATGGAAAAATGAGAGAAAACAAAATTTTTCTACAAATATTTGAAACCTCATATATGAATGCAATTTCTTGAAGACATGATAATACTATTACAGATAGCTATTCATTTTATTTTAAAATGTACCAATTATGCCACTGTCAAGATACTGTTTCCATAAAGCATATTTACAAATGCTACTCATGTTACTCAATTTTCAGTGCTTTCTTCAGTAAAGCGTTTATTTTCACTAAAACGTATTGCTTCTGTTTATGCAAATTACATATTGAAGACAAAAGAGGGACAGGATTAGGTACACTCTACTAAAATATTTTCATTGTGTTTTGTATATAAAGCATTTGAAAATTAAAAAAAAAAAAGTAGTGCAACACTACCGATTTTTCTTTTCTTAATCAAGAGTCACAAGTGAAATTCAACCATCAGCTGTGAACTTGGTTATACTGAAGCCCTCTGTCTGTACAATAAGGCAATGGGCTAAATTATCTGAAATGTGTTTTCCTACATATCATTCCATACAGTAGAAAGAGAGGTAGCGAAAGAACTAATTTTATTCCCAAAAGAACCACAGAACTACCAAGTTAGAGATCACTTCTAGTTCTAAACTCCTAAATTACGCATGGACAAATGGACACTAACATTTATTAAGCACTTCTTACCCACACTTTTCAGAAGGCTCATGTTACATGGGCAAAAATTAAGTCAAACCAGCATTACATACAAATGTTTGACATTTCCACTCCCTTATATTTTGGCTTATCATATTGTTGTTTGGTACCATCCAGTCAGTTCTGACCCACAGCTACTCTATGTACAAAAGAACAAAACACTGCCCCATCCTGCACCATCCTCACAATTGTTCCCGTGCCTGACCCTGTTGTTGCAGCACTGTCAATCCATCTCTTTGAGCGCCTTCCTTTTTCGCTGCCCTTTGCCTTTACCAAACATGATGCTCATCTTCAGGAACCGGTTTCTCCTGACAATGTCCAAAGTATGTTAGACAAAGTCTTGTCATCCTTGCCTCTAAGGAGCACTCTGGCCATACTTCAAAGACAGATTGGTACTTTTAGCAGTTTATGGTACTTTCAATATTCTTCTCCAGCTCCACAATTCTAATGCTTTTCAATACTCTGAAGAGTTCTTGTGCAACAGACTTACCTATTGCAACTTGTCTTTTGATCTTTTGACTGCTGCTTCCATGAGCATTTATTATGGATCCAAACAAGAAATCCTTGCCAACTTCAACGTTTTCTCCATTTATTATTATGCTACCTACTGGCCCTGTTGTAAGGATTTTGGTCTGCTTTACACTGAGTTG